AGCCTATTAGATTTTAAGGTTTTTAACGTTATATTATCATATTCCAAAATAACAAAAATTGATAGCACTAGCTGTAAAAATAAGTAAACTTACACCAATGAAACAAGAAAAAACTCATCAAAAGACACCAAATCAAAACTTTATCAACCATAACTTTGGAAGTCTTAGAATTCTAATCATGTTTTAGACAGGTACAGGAATGTTAGATAATCTAATCAACATTGTATTTGCAATTTATAATAGTCATCAACATTGTATTTGCAATAGAGAATGAGAGGATATAATTAATACACATGGATGTCAGTTTTTACTAGCAACGTTGCTATTTAAGCCTTTTGCCTTTAATATTAGATATCATATCATTACGTCCAGGTTTGAATTCAGACCCGACACATGATTGATCTTACCATATGTTAACTTCATCGTTGATGTGTTTGTCAATTCTCACATGACACGTTTTGCTTAAAAATAATTACCCTAAAAAGACCATACTAATGATTAAAAATGTCATTATTACTTTTTTGTACAAATATATCCTTAATGTCAAAATTACAGATTGAAACGTACATTTTTTACCATTTTATTTTGTACTCAGTGAGAAAAGGTTTTAGATTATCTAACGTGTTCAATGAAAACAATACTGACCAATCAAGTACAATAAATCTTTTTACCCATTTTACTCCTATATTTAAAATAGTTATACAGATATTGTAAGTAGTAAGATGAACTAAATATATGCCATTAAACATGGCACAAAAAGTCATACAAAATCCAGCCTACATTAGAATATAGCAATCCAAATGAAGAAAATTCAAACGAGACTATCTGTAGAAATAACTTACATCAAGGGAACATAAGTGCAAAAAAGGTCTTTCATCAAAGCAAAACTCAAAGGACAAAAACAAATTATCTTCTATAACTTAAAGTCTTGGAATCAAATAGATTTCTAATCATGTTAATGACTTGGTTTTTAGACAGGTACAGGAATGGGCATGGGCAATGGCTCATCAGCAACAAGTGGTGGCCTGTATTCCTCAACCTCTTTTGGTGGATGAACAATTACATCATCTTTTGGCATATGAATTATAACATTATCAGGCAATGGAGTTTTGGGCCCAAGCTTCCCTGTAGGATCCCAGTCAAGCATGATCTTTACCTTAATCCCAAGAACACCCTGTACACATACACATATGCAAACACAATTTATTATTTATAGAAACTTTCATTTGCATCTTATTTAATATATGTTTGAAAATAAGTATAAAACAACATTTACTTACCTGTCTAAGAAGCACGTGTCTTACAGCAGAGTCAATGTACTCCTTGACCGGTTGACCGGATGACACCATGTACCCGTCCTTGAACTTCATGGATTTGGCACGTTGAGCCCTTAGCTTTCCACTGACAATCACTTCACACCCTTTTGCTCCATTCTCCATTACAAATCTTAGAACACCATAGCAAGCCCTATATAATAAACAGTTTTTATCATCAATTACACAAAGATTGGCTGAATTAGAATGACAAAAATATGTAAAGAAGAAAAAAAAACCTGCGAACAGCAAGGCCTCCAAGAAGCTTGTAACGCAAAGATTCAGCCTGAGCAATGGCACAGAGACCTCTGTTGTTGACTCTTTCAGCATAAAGCTCAACACTGTTTTCAGGAAACTGAATCTTTTCTGAACAAGAGATGTCAGCTCCCTTATTCTCCTTCCCTTCTCACCTGATTCAATAACCATATAATCACATTATTATTATTATTATTATTATTATTATATTATTATTATTATTATTATTATTATGTGAAGTAACAATTTGTTTTTCTAATGTCATATATGATTACATTAATGATAATGTGCTTTTAGGGTTTTACAAGAACATTTTGGGTACGGGTGGCCCTGATGATGATCTCTGTGCGCATTGGTGTAACCCTAACTTCAACACCTGAGTAACCATCCTCTGCAAGTTCCCTTGTAAGGACCTCATTCAGCTCAGCAAGAACACACCATCTGCTACAAACTAATGCCCAAAAGATTTAGGTTACAAGCTATAAGAAAAAAAACAGATTCACATTAACTTGTGATAGTGATTGATGAATGATGATGAGACTAACCTTTCGTTTTTTGCTCAATTGAGTTGCCATGTTTGCAAGCTGTGTATTGGGTGATGAACACTAACTCTGAAATTTGAGACAACAGGGAATTTAGAATCAAATTTCACATTCGTTTCATGGTCAAACAAGAAAATAGGTATTCAGTAACTTGTAATCAGTGCTTTCACACCTTTGTATATCTATCTCATTAAAGTCTCTGACAAATTATAAGCAAAACTACCCCAGAATACGATCACATTTCCAAGTAGTAATTTTCCAATTGAGTAAAAATAATATTTGTCTATCAAGTTTATATTCAATCGAACATCCATTATATATTCCAGATTAAAATAAATATGAAATAACTTTTATATGAATGTATTGCATGCGTGTTCAATGACCAAACAACAGATCCAGCATGTTGTCAATTGGGAAATTTTATCAAACGGTTGGTGCGCATTAAAATAACAAGATATTGTCGAAACATCACTGCATCACTACCAACAGATTACAGCTATGCATCATAGGCAGATAGCTTATCGTCATGAAAGGGAGATCCAGCATGTTGTCAATCGAGTTTCAAATACACGTTATATTATATAATTAGCATCCAAGTGTGTGCTGTTCAGGGATTGCAAACATGTTCGGATGATTGGAAAATATCATCATCTAGAAGGTATTCATAAAAACACATATCATTAACGCTTTCACCAGCAAGAGAAATTATCAAGAAGTCTGATAAAAAACAGGTTGAACCTCCATAATTTATCAACATACAAAAATCAAAAGAAAACCTAAGAATTAACGAAGCTTGTCTATCATACAGTAAATCAAAAAGGAAGCGGATAAAAAGCAGTTTAACCGTCACAACAGCACAGATTCATCAAAAAAAGTACAGAAAATTTCACGCAATGCTAAATAATCAGCGGTGTATAGAATAAAATTAAGGAAAATTTTGAATGAGGGAAATGGAAATTGAAGCACTAACCTCAAAGAAATAAACCTGAAGATGTTGAAGGAAGACTCGGCGCTGAAGAAGAATTGGTAGGGTTTATTGTTGTATTCATAAATCCACAAATCACGGCGCTGAAGATGTTGAAGAAAGCCCAAACTGAAATGAAGTGGATAACCTTGAGCCCAATTTCGTGTCCCTAACTCCGTCAGTGATCTAGTTATATTTAATATATATATAAAAAAATGCAAATATCTTGCAACAAGTTTTAAATGTATAAAACTTATTTTTTTTATTGCTATATATTTATATTTAATATATATTAATAATTTGTAAATATGATTTTGTGAGTGTTAGTTATTGTTCATTATTTTATCATTTTCATACCAAAAATGACTAATATCATATCATATTATAACTTTTCCAAGCTCTGTAATATAAAGATACAAAATATATATATATATATATATATATATATATAAAAAATAAGGGCAAAACTTCATAAATGATCCCTGTGGTAGTGAAAAGACAAAAATGTCCTTCACTTAACACCCAAAAGCTAACGGAGTTAGCGAAAAGGACCATTTGTTAAAAGTTTTGAAACCATAGGGACTATCTGTGATGTTTTTAAAAATTAAGTACTAAACTTCAGATTTTTGGAAACCACAAGGACCATTTTTGAAGTTTTGTCTTAGGTTAAATATAAATGCAGTGTAAATGTAGTCTAATATGTTATTTAAATGTTAGAGACCTTGTGAAGCTTTTCAGATGCTATTTTCGGCGGGGAATACAAAAACTAGGAACCAAGGTCCTGTATCACAACAATAATCCATTATATATTTTAGAGTAAATTACAAAAATGTCCATACGCTATAGAAAATATTAAAATAACATGTTTAGTTCAAGTTTTGGATTTCTTACACGGATGTCTTTATAGAAATATTTTTTCTTGCAGTTTTGGTTCATGGCACATGTAAAATGAATTTTCTTATAAGTATATAAACTTTTTTGTTATATGATATAACTAAATATATATTATTATTTTAATATATAGTTGGGCCCAACCCCTCTAAAATACTTCACAAATTTAGTTTCATTGTTTTATCATTTCACGGAAAAAAAATTTATTCGATTAATTTTGAGTAGGGGTGCAAATGAGTCGAGTCGAGCCCAAGCTTGACCAAGCTCGGCTCGAGCGTGTTTAAGTTAAATGAGGCTCAAGCTCGAACTTTCTTGTACTGAGCTGTGCTTGAGCTCGTAAATAAGTATACAAGCTCGGCTCGAGCTCGAGCTCGATTTGTTTTTTTATCTAACGTGCCTAAATAAGCTTAAGCTCGGTTCGAACTCGTTAAAAAACTCGTTTACTACTACTCTAAATCCCTAATTACCCAAATATTTTTTATTTTAATATATAATAATAATAATAATAATAATAATAAATTATATTATATATAGGTTCGTTTAGGCTCGCGGGCCTAATCTAGCTTAGTGACATAGGCTCGAGCTCGAGATCGTTTAATAAACGAGCTTATCATTAAGCTCGAGCTCGGCTCGGGCTCGTTTAAAATCAGTTTCGAGTCGAGCTTTCAACGAGCCGATCCCAAGTAACTTGGCTCGTTTGCACTCCTAATTTTGAGCACATTAAATATATTTGGTTAATGAATAAACAAATGTGCAACATTAGTTGTAGTTGCTTGTATAAAAAAGTCTAAGCATTTTGGTTAATTGTTTGATAAGTAATTAACTCAACACATGATACGGCACAACCATATTACGCTCGACAAGGTGGTCAAACATTTTCAAAGTATATTTTTTTGTCGTAAAACACATTCTAATGTTAATTTGTAAAAAACTCAATCTTTATTCTTAAGAATCTTTATTATTAAGAAGCTCAAAATAAAGATACCATCTGTATCTCATATATATATATATATATATATATATATATATATAATATATATACTAAATTAATTTGTAAAAAACTCGTCTTTATTATTAAGAATCTCAAAATAAAGATATCATCTATATCTCTTTTATTTAAAAAAAAAACTAATATTTATTTATTAAAAAATTCAAGATAATGAGCATGTATATATCTTTTGTGATTTTCTCTTTGATAGATATTATAACTATATTCATAAAGATATCATCTATATCCTATACAACTTTAGGATTTTTGTTGAGTTATTGTTATGAGCACATTTCTAAGCTACATAGTGTGTCTAATAAAACTCTATTTGAGAATAACAGCCTTCAGGAAACCTTCGTGATATTACCCCCGTTTTGTTGGGGATGTAATTTGTAAATTTTCTATTAGACATGGACCAGTTTTGTAATTTTTTAAACATACAGATCATTTCTATAAAAAAAATCTGCTTAGGACTTTTTTTTGTAAATTACCAGACAATTTTTATAATTTTCTTTCCACACAATGACCAGACATGCTAATATACGAAAGTCTTAAACACGTGGTTCATTTTATAACCAAATTCTGCATAGAGACATTTTCTATAAATTACAAAAACAGTTTATATTATTTTTCTTAACATATATGAAACTTTTGAGGCCAAAGTCTTAAACTTAAAAAATATACTATTCATTTCTCAATATATATATATATATATATATATATATATATATATATATATAATTAGTGATGCAAATCTAGCAAAGCAGCCTTATTTCAATTTTCAAGTATCAAAATACCTTTTACATAAGTATTTGCGCCCGCAGTTTACACGATGTACCAAGAACAAGTTCATATCCACCTTTTTTAGTGGAAAACAACTTGTAATTTTTGTCGCATTGACATTGACATTGTTCGATCTCAGTGAGATGCAAATGCAGCAGTAATACAACATGTTCTCTCCAAAAACAACAAAGACCTTACTGGTCTATGCCTACCCACATAGTCAAGAAATTTTCTCTATCAAAAGATATTTCCTTCGACATGACAAAAGTCTTCAAATGTGTCCAATGATATCCTAACTTGGTTGGGGTTTCAAAGAATGACAACTACTTGATTGTTTGACTTTGATTTAAGCAGATGATGATGATGATGATGATGATATACACTATAAACCATGTACATAAACTATTTGTATACCGATCATGCTTCAATCATCCTATTCCTAGGTGGTGCTAACATTCCCAAGTTCATAACGACTCATGTCCTCAGAGTATAGAATCCCATTTGGGGAGACAAGTCGTAGGAGAGCAATAGTGAATCGAGACTGTAAATCACAATGCATAAACAACACATTAGTTTTTTTTTTTTTTTTTTTTTTTTTTTTTTTTTTTTTTTTTTTAAAACAACTATGTAATTATATGTAGTTGCAAGTTAAACTGTTAAGGTTTACCCATTGGAACAATGCTAATGTCCACCAGCATCCAGGCAAACCATATCCTGAATTGCTTAAAAACTGATACCAACAAAAAAAGTATAATAAATAAACAATCACCATTTTTACTCAACTGTAAAAATCCAAACATTCATTACCATGAGAAGAAGAGCACCCAGACAAAATATAGTGCTCATTGAAAAACTAATAAATCTCAAATCGCGTCCAGCCTGCATAACAAATATAAACAACACTAAATTTAACACACATTGCTTGTTTCTTTAATATTCAGTAAACAAAAATAAAAAATTCAGGAGTTCAATTTTCAACTTAAAAATAAGCATACCAACAATGTTCCTTCAAGGCTATGAGTACTTGTTGTCACAGACAAAGCAATGAAGTATGGAAGTAGAACTTTGTGCATCTGCATTCAAAGTTCAAACAAGTCAAGCATTAAACCATTAAAAAAAAAAAAAAAAAAAAACAACTTTTGGCTATTCTAAAATACCCCTTTATAAAACATAAGAAAATGAAAAAACTGACCTCCTTTATGACATGAGGATCAGGTGAAAAAATCTGGGGGAATAACCAGGGAACAATTGTTCCAGCAGCACCTAATATTAATCCACATGATGCACCAATAATCACCAATGACTTCAACAGCATTCGTGCCTGGGGCAAGGGCAAAATCGTAATATTGTATCACCATTATAAAAACACACAAACTAAGTTAAAATGAGTAAATATCACTAACCTTTGAGAGACTTCTTTTAGCGCCATAAATAAGCTCTGGCATAAACGATTGTGCAGTTTGTGAAAGAGGCTCACCCCCTACTGCAAACATGCAGTAAACTTGGACAAGGACCTAAAAGTAATTTGTTAGAATTGGACCTTACCAGAGAGTCAAAGTCAAAGTCAAAGTCAAACCAACCTGATGTGCAGCAACAGTTTGTGTTCCCATTGATGTAGCAAAGTAGACAAGTAAAGAATAAAATGCGACCTTTGACATCATCATTATAAAAACAGGAGCAGCAAGTTTGAATATTTGTAGGAGTTCAGTAGATGAAGGGACAGTAATGGCATACCCATTAAACCCTTTGTCTTTCAGAGCTTCAATCATCATAAATCCTGCAACAACCTGCAATATGTGTAAAGTAAAGTGTGACACAACTAAAATAAACATATAAAAATAAAACAAGTAAATGAATGCATGTTGTGATATTTTTCATAGAGTATATATATACCTGTGAGACCATTGTTGCCCATGCTGCTCCAGCAATACCATAGCCTAAGTATAAGCAGAGGATTACATCACCAACACCATTGATGACACTTGCAACTGCTAGAGCTTTTAAAGGTCCCCATGAATCTTTCATGCCAAGACTGATTAAAAAAAAGGAGAACATGTTAGTTAACATGAAATGGTGTGCACTAGATTCTACCAGAAAAATCAACAATTAGTGGAACAAATAAAGATTATATGATCACCTTGCACTCTGAGCAACCCACCCAACAAGAACTGCAGGCCATGCTAAGCCTCGAATCTACTAACATAAAATAAAATAGAACGAACCGATTAGACAAAAATACAAGTATTGAATGGTTTTGTAGGATTTGATGAATAATAGTTGTGCAAAAGGGTTTGTAGAATCTGAAGAACCTGTACGTATGTGTTTGCTGCTGATAACATATGTGCGTTCTTGGCTCCAGAAAAAGCTGAAAATGTTGCATTATGAATTAATCAATTATTGATATGGTTTCATTGTGCTTCAAAGATCAAGAACCTTGTTGTGGCTTGTACTAGTATATATAAAAAAAGAATCAGGGAACAAGTTTTTATTACCACTAAGTGCCCATTCTCCACGGAATCTTGTAAAGAAAAGCATCAGTATACCACATGTCAATCCAACAAAAAGCAAAGTTGATATCTGATGCTGCACTTCCGATTTATCCTGCATAACTTCACTAGTTAGATAAGTCAAGAGAAAAAGATAAGAGGTAGATGTTGCAGAAACATGAAATTAAGGATGAGGGGGGAATTATAGAGTTTGGATAATATCAATGAATGTTCAATTTAAAGATATGAAAGAAACCTGTTTAGCAAGTGAAGTGGCCACCATATTTGAGGTGGCTACAGAAAGAAACATGAATCCGTAACTCATATAATCACAGAGCACTGTACCTGGCCCTGTGGAAATCAAATTAAGACTAATCAGCCCCAAATTTCTACCCCAATGTCCCTAAAGTCTAGATGTTCGCTTGCAGATCATGAAACAATGTCCCTAAACAATTACTATCTTTAGTTTTCACACCAAAACTAGAAATAATACAATGATTCACCACTGTCATTACACATTATCTACAGCGATCTGCTGGTATATGTATAACATTTCCCATTACACTTGGAAAATGATAACCAACACGCAGTGAGTTCAACCCCATATTTTTAAACTCGAGAACAGAGTGTAAGAAAAACGAAGAAATTAATGTACCTAAAGCAGCGAGTTCAACGGAACTCGACTGACCGATCACAGCAGTATCAATCAGACTCATCAACGGTCCACACAACCAGAGCCCTGCAGCTGGCCCCGAAAACTTGAGAATCTCCACCAATTGATCCCAAATACTCTCATTCACCGCCAAATCCTTCTCTATCACCGACGTCTTACTCGAAATTTCTTCTTCGTCTTCTCCACTATCACCAAAAGACGAAACTGCGGCAAAACTCCGGCCGTTCCTATACCCTGACTCATCTCCTTCATCCGAAACGCGTCTGCTAGCGTTAGCATGAGTAAGAAACCGGTTCGCGTACCGAGTTTTTCCAAATAATGGATAATGAGACGATCTAAGACCCAACTGAATGCGCGAGCTGTAGCGGCATTGCGTAGGTGACAAAAATGTCGGTAATGGGTTGAATTTAGGGTTTATTGGGATTGTTTTGAGGTATTCGTTGTGCCGAATTAGGGTTTTGGGATCCATGAATCGAGTATTGATCTGGTTTGCTCTGGACGAAATGAACTGAGAAGAAGATGAATTGGTGGAGAAGGAGTTGTACGACATGGACGTGGTGGTGAAATATCTGGACGTGATTTCAGCACGTTGATGTTTTTGTTTTCTCCCGGTAAGAATGTTCAGACTCAAAACAACCAATTCAAACTCGTTTTTTCTTCTTTCCCAATCAAACTTTCCCAAAAAAAAAAAAAAAAAAAAAACCCCACAACATGTTTTTAATACTTTTATTATCGTTTTAATATATTGTGTTAACCTCATGTGTTATTTGTTATATAATATTTATTTACTGACTAACATAGTGTCGTTTTTGGTCAAAACCAAACCACAAACCCTAACTACGGTTTTCTCCATTATAAAACTGAACGGTACAACTTTTTAATACTCAGTATCTTGATGCGGTTTGGTTTTAAGCCCTTTGTGGTTCGGTTTTTAACAATATACTTTGGTGCACTGCCGAACTAAAAGCTTGGATGCTATCAAAGAAAGAGTTGGGAAATCATTAATATAGAAAATGAAATTAATGGGCGTTTCTTGCAATAGACGATGTGGAACTCCTCGTAGAATAGAGTTAAATGAAAATGACTTTGTCTAATTACATAAAAGATGATTTGTGTTGAAATTATGGAGATTCATATAAGAGATCTCTTCATATGTATATTAAATATATTCATAACAAAATTTGTACATATAGATACGGTTTGATTTTTTTACGATTTTTACAAAACTAGAAACCACTTTGCACCAAAAACTTTCGGTTTTTGCAATATTAGAAAACGCATCGTTGGTTTTAGTTTCGATTTCGGTTTATACGTTTTATTTGGTTTTGTTCACCCCTAATGATATTGATACTTTAGTATTTATTAAATATAAAAAAAATTATAAAAAATTACTTTTTAGAATAATATTATCAACCTAAATAAAATCAGGTAAAAATCAAATATTATACTAAAAATAGAAATAAATACTACCACGATAATTATTAAGGGTGGTAGAATAGAATCCTCCAAAACCATTTAATCCGATGTCACATTATTTTTTTATTTTTTTATTTCTTTCATCTTTTCCAACTCACAACAAATGAAAATAATATATTTTCTAACACACTTAATTCCCTTACCAAATCATTGTTCTTAATTTAATTTATTCATATAACTTAAAATAAAATAAAACTTTTTTTAAATTTTTTTAATTTTAAAATAAGCTTATACTAACTTTAAACCAAAAAAATATATTGAGCAATAGTAACATTTAATTAATAAACTACACTACAATAACATAAATTAAAACCGCATTACAATAACACAAAGAACAAATTACTGAAATAGTCCATGTGGTTTGGCTAAAATTGCGTGTTTGGTCCCTATCTTTTGTTTTGCACTCGGACCATCATCACGTTTTCTTTTTATTACCCGCCTGGTCCCTGGGTCCGTTAGTCGTCAATTCCAAACGTTAAGTCCCCCCACGTGCTTCGCACATGAGGGGTATTTTCATCATTTCATATAAAAAAATCTATTAGAACACCCCTAAACCTTGATTCTCTCTATTTTCAAATACGCCCTTTCTTCATCTCTTTCATTTCCTCTTCTGTGAAGTGTCGATCAACCCTAATGGAAAAAAGCTGCAAGTGTGGTCAAGTTGGTGTGATACGAAGATCGACTACCAAGAAAAACCCTGGAAGACTTTTCTATTGTTGTACTGGGAAGGTAAGGGCAATTTCTTCTTAAGTATATCTATATATCACATACCTTTAACACACAATAAATTACTCAAAATGCAGGGAGCAAAATGTGGTTTCATAGATTGGGTTGATGAGGACAACTTTAATGGTGAAAAAATTGAAAAAAGTATCTCCCCTGATTTGCAGAAGTCATTGGACGAGCTTCAACATGAGAATAGGGCCTTGAGGTTGTTATTAGTGTTCAGTTGGGTTTTTTTGTGTCAATTTAATTTACAAGCTTTAATTTATGTTATCAATGTACTTATATTTTGTTTCATCAAGGCAGTAATGTAATAGAATGACAATGTATGAATGACATTGGCTATTGGAATAGAATTGTCTGTTGGAATGCAATTTTCTTTTGGAATGGAATTGATTGTTTTATAATGGAATGAAATTTAGTGGTTTGTAATGGAATGAAATTGAGTGGTTTGTACTGGAATGCAATTGACTGTTTTATAATGGAATGGAATGGAATTGACTGTTTTATAATGGAATGGAATTGAGTGGTTTGTAATGGAATGCAATTGACTGGTTTTATATTGGAATGGAATTGAATTGAATGGTATTGAATTAAATGGAATTGAATTGAATGATTGATGGAATTGAATTGAATGATTGAATAAAATTGAATTAAATGGAATTGAATTAAAACAAAAACATAGCAACATATTAATAGCACTAATTGTTCATACCATAATTGAAAATAGAGATACATTAAAATTCATACCATACATAGACAACAGGTCCCAAAAGTCATACCATAATTGTTCATAACACAGACACAAAACATAATGACAAATATAACAGACACAAAAGATCATAACACCATAATTGGTTCATAACACAGACACAAAATATGAAAACACAGTCATAACTTAAGCAATACTCTTCCCTTTCTTCCCAGCCTTCCTTGTCCTGCTTGAAATTCTATCACATGCACTTTGAGTTCCACTTTGCCTACCACTACCTGCACTTTGAGCTTTCTTCCCAACATTCCCTTTCTTGCTTGAACTACCATCACCTGCACTTTGATCTTTCTTCCCATCCTTCCCTTTCTTGATTGAACTACCACCACCTACACTTTTAGCTTTCTTCCCAGCCTTCCCTTTCTTGCTTGAACTATCATCACATGCACTTTGACCTTTGCAGCTTCTTTTATTATGACCAAGCTTTTTGCATTTTGAACATGTCACACTCTTGTCCTTCCTTGATGCCCTACCACCCTTCACCATATCTTCTAATTCAACAACTGACTTCCTTCTTTTCTTCCTTGGTCTTCGAATGGGGACATGATGATTGGGAGGAAGCAAAGTGGTTGGACATGGAAACTTTTCCCACATTCTTCTTCCATTAATTGGTTCAATCTTGAAAGAATACATTTCGTTCCAAGTTTTTAACTAGTAAGTAGAATGAACCCATTCTTCAGGTACGCCAACATTCTGCTTATTTTTTTGCATGTCCCATATAGCAACAAGGGCATGTTTACAGGGTATACCAATGAGTTCCCATCTTTTACAAGAACATGTGTGTAGAACCATGTCTACCACACATTGGTCCATCCATGGACCACTCACCTGATATTTTCCATTCCCACAGAGCTTACCCACACATTGAGCTGCATCAGATTTGTTTTTTTCAAGCACACTTGTTGCAGTTGGAGTTAATGGTCTAACAGCCTTATCAATTACCTTTTGGACACTCATAATCCTTAACATAAGGTACTCTCTAATGAACTCAAGGCATATGCTAATTGGTTGGTCGCGTGCTTTCTTAATTTGATTATTTATGGTCTCACACAAGTTAGAAGCCCATCACAATGATCCCTCCCTACAATATAAATAAAAAGTTATGTGAGAAAGTGAATCATTTGGTAACAATTAACCCAACAAAATAAAACAAACCTGTGAAGTGTGCCCTAGACCAATGTTGAGGTGGAATAACTTTGACCAATTCGTAGCAGTCATTGTTTAGCTTTCTTAACTCTTCCATAGCATGGTTGAATTATTGTATTGTTGTTGTACTTGCACAATTCCACACCATGTCCTGAAACACCTTTCCCGTCCATATTTTCTTCATGTTTTCATGAATGTGTCGCAGACAAAACCTGTGTTCTGCATATGGATACAATGTACCAATTGCTTGCAACAAGCCCTGTACAAAAAGTAAACAACATTAGATGTAATGTATATAACCTCAATATAAGAATACTTCATTGCTTACAACCTCAATATCATCGATTTCCCTTGTTTCTGTTTCCTTGACATTTGACCCTCCAAGATCACCCACCCACTTTATATCTTCATTAATATTTAACAAAAACTCATTCATGTCTATCTCAGGTTCATCTAGGAGGTTATCTAAGTCTACTAAGAACTCACTATCATCACTATCACTACTATCACCACTATCATCGGCATCATCTCTATTGTCACTTTCATGAGTAATCCCTCCAGGTTCTTCATTTAGAATTTCATCAAATTCATCAAATATACCTTGTGTTTCACATTGGGCATCAATTTGGTCACTTTCAGTTTCTTTTGTTGGCACAACATCTGGTTTACTTGATCCAATACAATCCCCTGTTTCAGTTTCCTTCCATTCCAAAAATAGCATTCTACTACACGAAGGTTGATCAATGATTTCTTCTATCCTAACTTTACTAGGGGTAGATGACATTGTATATGTATGCAACATTGTTTTACCTTGTTCAACATAAACTTCAATAAGTTTATGTTTACCCACGTATGTACCCAAATGGTTAATGTCACTGTCACTAGCCAATACAAACAACCCAAAGTCCAAATCTGAAAAGGGTATTTTGAAGTGGTAATAAAGCAACTTACCCTCCTCAACACAACCTAGGGTCTCCATCATATCATCAATATCGTGCACACAAAACTCATCAATGTCCAATAGATCAACGTATCTTTCTTTGCCCTTGACGTACCTCCTTCCAGGAAACTTCGTAAACTCTCCACCATAGAATAATCTGATGGAGAAGATAGTTGGATGACCAGCTGTAAAAGAGAAAGCTTCAACTTATTAGCTTGAAATTTGTAAGTGATAAATTTAACTTTTGAAAATAAGGGGTTACCGTAATGTTTTTCAACGTCTATTTCTTCCATGTTTGCTCTAATCCTCCAACCCACAATTGTTGCTTCGATGATTCTTGCAGAATTTTGAGGAGTTAGGGTTTCTACTCGATTTTGATGAGTTACAGATTAAGTGAGAGAGAGAGAGAGTGAGAGGGAGGTGATCGTAAAATGATCGGAATGAAGAAACGATTGGCATTGCATTTAGGCGCCATGTATAAAATGACGAAAATACCCGTCATGTGCGAAGCACGTGGGGGGACTTAACGTTTGGAATTGACGACCAACGGACCCAGGGACCAGGCGTGTAATAAAAACAAAACATGAGGATGGTCCGAGTGCA